TAGCATTATGTTTGTGAGAATCATCAGTGATGGTATGTATTTCAACGTGTTCTTTTCTTCCTTGTTGTGCAATGTTCCGGTAAATGAACAAAGTACAATTAATGTATCTGTTCTATTATTGATGAACATTTTTCCTCCCAGTATTTTGCTCTACAAATAATACTGCTATAAACATTTGAACATGCCTTCTTTTTTTTTGTATTTATATATTTATATTTATATATATATATTTATATAATGGTACAAAATGGCTGGGGGTATGGCCATGGATGGAGGGAAGTAGGCTGGCCTGTGGAGTTCACCTTGGGAAGCTGGGGTGGGGGTGGGGGAGGGAGAGAGGGGAGCAGGGAGGGCGTGGGGCCCTTTGCAGCCTGCATTCTCTCCCCTCGGGGCAGGACACACTCAGAGTTAGACACTTCGGGCAGTCTTGGGACAGGAGTGGGGGCTCACGGGCACAAGGCCTGGGTGGAGGCAGGGCGGGTACAGCGCCTGGAGGGTGCTCCCCAACACAGAGGCCCCAGCCTCAGCCCCTGGGAGGTGGTGGGGGCGGGGGTCAGGATCCTGCAGCCAGCCCTGCAGGAAGTGGCGCTTGGCGCTTGACCCGGCTGACGGTGGACTGAGTGGACAGCACCAGACTGGGAGAAGTGGGGGCGAATTCCCTTTGTATTACAGCTGCCAATGCGAAACCAGGCCCTGCAGGCCAGGGGGGCTGGGGCGGGGCCCTGGCAGAAGATACCCTGTCTAGAATGGCCCTTGGCCCTGGGGGCAGAGCACCAGAGGCTGCTGCCCAGAGCAGCCCTGCCCCCTCACAAGGCAGGAAAGGAAGTGAGAAAAGGAGTTTTGAATTCCTGGGGCCAAGAGTCGCATATGGCTTCAGCTCGGACCAGAGGCTGGTGGGGTGCTCCTCCAGGGGAGGGCAAGGGGCTAAGGGAAAGCAGGGGCTGCACCTGGGCAGGCTTGGGCAGGCCTGGAGCCCGGAGCCCCGGGGCAGGGGGCCTGGTCGTTCTGGGCAGGCTGCCCCCACCCCTAGCACTCCCCATCGCTCCCTCTGGGGTGGAGGCTGGAGGGCAGCAGATTGACTCAACCGAGCGCTGCTCCTTCCTTCTTTGGTAAGAAGTGGGAGGCAGGCTCTGAGGAGTCAGGGCCCAGGGGCCACCTGGCCAGGGGTACTGTGGCCATAGGCTCCCACTGGGGAGGGGTAGGGGCCGCATCACTCCCTCTATGGCTCCCCTGGGGGAAGCTACTCAGCTACTGCCTCCTCCTCCTCTCCTTCATCCCAGCATGGGACAAAGGGCTTCAAGTTCTGGCTAAGATGTAGCAGCAGAGGCACTGACATCAGCAGTGGGAAACCAGGGCCCCATGTCACCGGCGTGGGCTAACAGGCGTGCAGGTGCATGCTCTGAACATGCCTTCTTGTCTATATATGCATTCAGCCCTCTTTGGTACATCCCTTGGAGTGGAATTGCAGAATCATAGGCTATGATCAGCATAAGGCGACATTACTAAATACTTTTTCAAAGTGGTTATACAAACAGCTCTGTATAAGCAGTCCATTGGTTCATAATTTCCTCACTATCCATGCTTGCTGTAAAATTGACAAATAATAATGGAAAATTACAGGTTAATCTATCTCACGGTCAAAAATACATATAGTCTTAAAAAATTATTAACCAATGGAATCAAGCAGCCTAAAAAGGTAATATATCACAAGTCAATTCCCCCCTCCCTGGAATGCAAGGTGGATTTAGCATTTGGACTAACAATTGAGATAGTTCTCTACAATTACAGAACAAAAGAGAAAAGAAGGGAGGAAGTGTTTGATAAAATTTAACACCCAAGCATCACAAAAATCTTTCAGAAAACTGAAGATAAGGGAAACTCCTTAATTAAATGAAGAATGTCCATGAAAATTCTATGGCAGACATTAATGTAATGGTGAACCATTGACAGCTTTCCCTCTGATACAAAGAAAGAGATAAGGAGACTCTTTCTACCACATTTCTTTTTAATTCTTCTATGTTGACTCCATGCCAGGGAATTAAGGCAAGAAAAAAGAAGTTTAAATATTGGTAGGGAAGAAATAACAGACATTATGCATTCATGACGATTGGACACGTTTGAACCCCCAAAAAAGACTCTGCACCTAAATTTTCGAATTAATGAATGAATTTGGCTAAGTTATTGGATACAAAGTCAGTATATAAAAGCACATTTGGTTTCTATACTACAACAAAATGGTTAGAATACACAATTTTAAAAAATATAACCAAGGGCCTGGCGCTGTGGCATAGCAGGTAAAGCTGCCGCCTGCAGTGCTAGCATCTCATGTAGGCACTGGCTTGAGTCTCAGCTGCTCCACTTTCAATCTAGCTCTTTGCTATGGCCTGGGAAAGCAGCAGAAGATGGCCCAAGTCCTTGGGTCCCTGCACCGCGTGGGAGACCCAGAAGAAGCTCCTGGCTCTGGATCATTGCAGCTCCGGCCATTGAGGCCAATTAGGGAGTGAACCAGCTATGGAAGATCTCTCTCTCTCTCTCTCTCTCTCTCTCTCTGCCTCTCCTCTCTTTGTGTAACTCTGACTTCCAAATAAATAAGTAAATCTTTTAAAAAAATACAACCAAAAAATTGCACCAGTAAAATCTACATTGTTACTTATGCTAATACTAAATGACATAGGTTGTTGAGTGTTTGCTATATTGTGAAAGTTTTGACAACTTCCTTATCTCTTAATTCACTGGGTTGATAGCTACTATTTCTATTGCTATCACTGTTCTTTCCTTTAACTTTAACTTTTAAAGTAATTTTCTGCTGCAAATGTGCTAGGATTAGAAAATCAGTAAATTGGCTGGTGTTGTGGTATGACGCATTAAGCCTCTATCTACAGTGCCAGATCCCATGTGGGCACTGGTTCACAGTCTACACTGGTCCCTACTGCTACACTTCCAATCCAGCTCCCTGCTAATGCGGCTGGGAAGGCAGTAGGGGATGGCCCAAGTGCTTGGGCCCCTGTACCTACATGGGAGACCTGGATGGAGTTCCTGGCTCCTGGCTTTGATCTGGTCCAGTCCTGGCCATTGCTGCTATTTGGGGAGTTAAGTAGCAGATGGAAGATCTGTTTCTCTTTATCTGTCTGTCCCTCTTTCTCTGTGTAATTATGATTTATAAATAAATGTAAATACCAATAAAAACATAAGTAAAAGTTATATTAATAAAACAGAAAGGATTTTAGTGCTAGGCTGAAGCCAGGAGATAGGAACTCACGTGGGTGGCAGGGTCCCGACTAGTTGAGCCATTATGTGCTGCTTCCCAGGGTGTGCATTAGCAGGAACTTGGAAGCAGAAGCAGAGCGGCGATTTGAACCCAGGGACTCCAAGATGGGATGCGGTATCCCAGGCAGCATCCTACCCGCTGTTCCAAACCCCCACCCCTGGAGCCTTTTACACTTACATTGATTGTCTGATTTTGCTCAAAGTGACCAAGTTTACCAGAAATACAAAACCTAGGGAAGACAAAGTGGTGCTTTGTATTGATATCTTTTTAGGTGACAAGACAGTAATGAATTTTCCAAGTTTGTTACCTGAATAGAACAGTCCTTAAAGTTTTCCATGGGGTTATTTCAACGTACAAGGAAAAGAAAAAGGGAAATTGGTTTTAGGTTTTGCACAGAAACTTTAAACAAGACATCATGATTACCTCCTTTTGGGCAAGCATTTGGTATAAATCTCATCAGTAAGTTTGAAGTTAGATTCTGCTTCTGATATATAAAATGCTTAATGATTCTTAGATAATGGTGCGCTGGCTGGTTGGTACTGACTTTAAGAAGGTTTTCTTTCTAATATTAGTTGAATTTGGCTCAGCTCAGTAGGATTACAGCTAAATAAATACTGTCAATGAACTAAGCCACTCATTATTAGAAACTCACTTCTCAAACTGGATATTAGAAGGATGTAATCCAAAGAACATTGCCTCTCTATTGCTAAGGTCGCAGCAAGAGTGAAACGACCCGTGAAGAGCTAGCCTTTATTGGTTGACAGGAACTAGCGGGGCTACATTAATTAATATTTGAGCTATGGGTATTCTGATGGCATCACATCTTTTCCATTTAGTTTATTGATTACAACCTAGTGTCAAAAATATGTTTAAATCATGACTCAGCACATACAAGTAAATATGCATGAACTTAATTGAAATAAAGACTGGGGGAAAAAAAAATGCTGTCTTTGCTCCAGGTGATACTTATCAATAATTTCTATTCTATTTGCTACCTTTTATTCAAGACATACAGGTGCTAGCTCCCTAAATAGGCTTTGTTGCTTAATGTATCATGAGCTTCAGTTGAAAACATTGATTTATTTGACAGGAAGGACCAATCATTTTTCACTGATGCTTTCTTAACCTGGACCCTTGACACTGGGTCCCCACCCAGCCCAGTCAGTCATGGCCCAGTAACTATTAATAACCATGAATATTAGCCATTTAGCCCAATAAAAGAATGCTTAGGCCATGAAAGTATTTTGATCCTGGATCACATATGGGAAAATTAAATGATGTATAATTAGCACTACATTTCCCTTCATTCACAAAGCTCTATTTATTAATTTCTAATTTTAAGGTGATTAGTATAAAATGTAGTCAATTTAGTTGTGCTGCAGAATTCCTGTACTCAGGAAGTATAACTGAAGATCCTCAACCCATACCGTTGTTATAAGCATAAGTAACACAGTGAACAAAGATAAAATAGCTGCATAGAGCTTACAGTGGATGACTGTAAAGAGAGCAAAACAGTTCCTCCAGTTCCTGCACTCATGCCCTTTTATGACTTGGCTTAGCTATTCCTTCTAACGAGATAGAGACTGTTCTCCATGCATCTACCCCACCAGCTCCCGTTTGAGTCTGGGCTGGTTTATGAACTTTGTCTGATAGAATGTAGTTTAAATGATGTTGTGATGCTTCTGTGTTCTGGAGCTTTTGTTCTTATCCTCTTGAAATCCTCTGATTCCAGGTGAAGAAGGACTCTTAAAAATGTGGCAGGAGTGGCCTAGCTGACAGACAACACCAACCACCTGATGTGGAAGGGAGGCCATCCCATCTTAGCCCACCCAGCCTAGTTAAGTCTATATATTCCTGTAGCCACAGAGTGATTCCATGTGAGACCAGCAAAAGAATCATAAGCAAATAAAATGAAAAGTAGCAGCAGAGTTATCCTGTCCACATCATGTTTAGCACTTCTTCTGTAGCAGGTGCTCTCTGTGTGCATTAATGTGTAATATAAAGGTCTTTGTGCCCATAGCACAAATCTTTCCACTTGTATCTTCCCCACATGTTCTTCTCAGTGATCCACAACTCTTTCTACTTCTAGGACTCCAAAAATCAGCAAAACAATTTGCCTATGGCAGCAAGAATGTGTATATTCTTACTTTGCTCACTTCCCTCTCCTTTTGTCTTCCTAGACTTAGCATAGTGAATACACAATTAATAATTGTTTAAAAATGATGGCTTGAAGAAAACAATGACTGAGTTTTGTTAGATAGTAGACAAATGATGAAGACTTTTGAACCATGTCAATGAATCTATACTTTATGCTATAGAAAATGAAGTCATTGAAAAATTTAATAATAGGGATCCATTTTATGTTCTCTTCTTCGCTTTCTTTTTACAGAATGTTGGATTTTTAATCAGTGTATAGTTCTTGAGTGTTCTTTTACATGACCAGGAATACACTTGGGTACATGGTGGGACACCTTGATTCCTTAATTAAAATGGATCCCAGTTTTTCTTCACTAGTCTTGGGACTTGATTTGAAAGATACACACCCACACACACACTCACACCCCCACACAGCTTTTGCTTTATTTTAAGCAAATGATTTTTAAAAATGTATTTGAGAGGCAGAGAAAAGAGAGTGAACAAGCTCCTATCCACTAATTAATTCCCCAGTTACGCACAGTGGACTCTGGCTGGGGCCGAAGCTATGAACCCAATTCGAGTCTCCCATGGGCAATAGCAGAATCCCAATTACTTGAGCTATCACGTGCTGCTTTCCAGGGTCTGAATTAGCAGGAAACTTGAGTCAGGAGTGAAGCTGGATATTGAATTCAGGCACTCTGACAAGGGATATGGGTGTCCCAATCAGTGTCTTAACAGTTAGACCAAATACCTGCTCCAGGATTCACAGATTTTAATGGTAATAATCTATTCAATTCAATGCTACTTTTGTGTAGAAAGGAAAACACATATGTGATATGAGGTTGTGACAAAAAAGTGTACTTGCTGTCTTAATTTTTAATCTAACAATCACTACATAATGAGATAATAATAAACATGATAGTAGTGATAATGGAATAATAATAAACAGAAAAGATTTCTTTGTGCTTCTCTGCAGTATGGCTCAATAATTTCTGCTTTAATAATATTAAAACTCACCTTCATTTATGTAATGCTTTTTATGTTCAAATTGCTTAGCCAAAATTAAGTAATTAATCCTTACACTAAACTCTGCAAGGCAGATAAGAATTATCTTCATTTTACAGATTAAGTCAAATGTAGCATATTCCAAATGATTAATGCTTTAAAATCTCCAATACCAAATAGTCTGTGTTCCTCTGGAAGCATGTGGAAGCCCAAATTTACATAGTAATTATGTGTTCAATTGTGCTGAGGAAGCAAGTGGCAGGCCCAGATAATCTTCCACAAAAGGAAAAAAGAAAAAGGAAAAATACTGTTAATATTACCAAAACGGAGGAAGGAAAGCAATTTTTAAAAAATCCCTATTGAATATTATTCTTCATATACAGTGATTCTCTCTTCAAAAGTCCTTCTATGCTAAAGACAAAGACAAAAACAAATCCCAAAACAACCTTGGTAAATGCTGTTTAATGCATAGAAGAAATCCCATGGGACAATGGAATTTGCATCTTGATGAATGAGAAAGTAGCCATAGTCATCTGGAGATGATGATACACAGCTATTTCCTCATCATTTAGTTCATAAATTCTAGTATTGGGCTGCATGCCACTGGCTGAGCATGCCTTCTATGCAAAGACAGTTTGCGTGAGGATTTGTGCAAAAGAAAGAAGATATATTGTAGATATTGATAAGAATGTAATTCCTTGGTCTTACATTGTGGAAGGACTCTGAGAAAGAAGCTATTTCTATTTTTGAACAAGCTTAGCACTTCTCTCTTTTTCTCATGTCATGGGGAAGAGTTGATTGTCAGTGAAACACCAGGAAAGTCTGTATCTACCTATTTATATCCATCTATTCATCTATCCATCTATCTATCTATGTATCTATCATCTTTTCCTCAGTGTACATTGTTTTCCTTTGTATCCTTTCTGAAGGTTGATGGGATTTATTTTAGTGACAACAGCTCCTTCAACACTGCCTAGCATTGTGCATTAGTGCCAGAAATATCACTGTTTAGACACTTATGGTCCTCAGTGTCTGATAATATGGTGGTCTGGGATAATCCTTAGTCTAAGGTATGTCTAGAAGTCGTTGATAAAATGAAAAGATAATGCTTAGATGAACCACTAGGAAAACAAGGAGAAATGATCAGAAGATAGAAAGACAAGCAACAGTTGCTTTAATGGCCTGTGAAAGGACCATAGGAGATGCATCCTGGGACTGGCAGAAGGTAGAGGGTGGAACATGGGTTTGGATCCTCCACATCCTTGGTGGGTGATCAAGAAAAATCACTGCCTTCTACCTGTCTTTTTGTTAGCTCTGAGTGGTGCAGGAAAAATGTGTCCCCTGAGAATTCTCCATGGGACCCACTTTCATATAGATGTTTTGGGACAGTAAGCCCTTACTTTTATAAATATATAATAGAAAAACTTTAAGCTGACCATGAAAGTAATGTCAGGTTTCTGGTGTTTCTAGGCCAGTAGCAAAATCAAGGCTGATTCTTTCTGGAGAACTTTATTGTGAACTCAGATCTCAAAGAGAAATCCCTCAGAGATAATTCCTGTGCCAATTAACATACAATAAAAACATCATAAAACATATGTGGAGGGGCTGGCACTGTGGCCACAGCCTGCAATGCCAGAATCCCATATGGGTGCTGGTTTGAGTCCCGGCTACTCCACTTCCTATCCAGCTCTCTGCTATGGCCTGGGAAAGCAGTAGAAGATGGCCTAAGTCCTGGGGCCCCTGCACCCCAGTGGGAAGACCTGGAGGAAGCTTCTGGTTCCTGGCTTCAGATCGGCACAGCTTTGGCCCTTGCGACTACTGTGGGGAGTGAACCAGTGGATGGAAGACCTCTCTCTCTCTCTGCCTCTACTTTTCTGTAGCTCTGCTTTTCAAATAAATAAATCTTTTTTTTTTTAAATATGTGGCACATGAGCAAGAGCCAATAAAAACATCATCCTATAGAAAAAGCCTAGCAAAAACTATGGCTTTTAGAATTATCAGATGGCAAATATATTTAATTAAATAGTTTTAAATGGGGGTTCCAGACATTATTACAAGTACCTTTAAAGTAAGTGTACCAGAAAACAATGAAATTAGATTAAAAAAAAAAAAGAGAAGGTGATCTGGGAATGAAATATACAGCTTGTGAGAAACCCAAAGGACTGTTTACGTAGCAGATTTAATGTAAGGGAAGAATTAACAAGCTGCAATACATTCTATGGAATCTAGGGATGTAGTTTGAAAATATGAAATGTATGACATGTAGGGTAGAGTAAGAAGGCCTAATAAATACCTAATTGGAGTTTCAGAAGGAGATTAGAAAAAGTGGGGAGAGACAATATTTGGAAGAAATAACAGTGAATATCATTCAAAGATGGTGAAGGGTGTGAAACTCAAATTTTAGAAGCCTGGTTAATTCCTAAAGGGAGAAAATCACACTGAGATACATCTTAGTGAAACAGAATCCCAAAGGCAAGTGGAGATTTTAAAGGCTACATGATAGGGGCTGGTGCTGTGGCATAGTAGGTTGAGCTGTGGCGCTGGTTCATGTCCCAGCTGCTCCTCTTCCGATCCAGCTCTCTGCTTATGGCCTGGGGAAGTAGTAGAAGATGGCCCAAGTGCTTGGGCCCTGCAGCTGCATGGGAGACCTGGAAGAAGCTCCTGGATCCTGGCTTCAGATCAGCCCAGCTCCAGCCCTTGCAGCCATTTGGGGAGTGAACTAGCGGATGGAAAACCTTTCTGTTTGTCTCTCCATCTCTCCCTCTCTCTGTCTATAACTACCTCTCAAATAAATAAATTTTTTAAAAAAGGCTGTGCGATAGTTATTCACAGGGGATCTCTACCTAGCAATGATAAGGACCAAAGATATTACAATAACTCTAAAAAGGCTGAGATGAAATGATTGCTAATCCAGAATCCTATGCTGTGTAAAACTTTTTTAAGGAACAACTGCATGACAGATGCTCATTAGAGTAAATTCTACAAGATTTATATCAAAAGAAACCAAACTTGATTGGGGGAAACTAGGCAGGAAGTTAGATAGAATAGGCGAGCTGGGATTTTTGCCAGTTCTGCATTGTAACTTTATCCCTTCATTTGTCAGCTTGATAGGCCTACCTTCCTAGGGTGCACTTGTGTTTCTATCTGGGACCAGGAAAGAGGAGAAGCCGTAATCACCACATGGATGTTGAATGCCACATGGAAGCACCATAAAATTCCCAGGAAGCTTCACATGTGCTGAGGCTCCCCTCAATTTGTTTATGCAATTGAAGCACCACCTCCTACCTCATAAAAGAGGCTGAAAACAGGGGAGGGGCTTTCATGCATCCCTGTCTGTATTTGGGGACTCTCTTCTGGCCTTCTCTCTTCCATCTCTCCTGATAGGCGGCTCACTTCTGACAGACATCTCTGTGGGGTAGCCCACACTCAGGCGTGAATGAGTGTTCTCACTCTCTTTGAAATAAATCCTCTTCTCACTTGTGCATTCTATTACACCTCTACTTTGAATTCTTAGCCCTGTGGGGTACGAGAACCTGACGGAAAGATGAAGAGTCCTAGGCTTGTATCGAAATCATCTCAGAAGGAAGATTAGCAATGACAATGACAAATGCGTAGGTAAATGTACAGAACTGTGAGCTCGTAAAGCTCAGTAAAGATAATTAGTGAGGTGTTCCCGTGTGTGGGAGGCCACTGATTCCGAGCAGCCTCCTGTACCAGGCCTCAGCAGACTGGACCAAACCGAGCGGTGAGGGACCTCAAATATTCCACCCCAAATGTATTTTTTCACATATTTTGAGTTGGTTGTTCAGAGAAACTGCAGACCTCTGTGGACACGGCAATCATACAGAAAAGCTGTTCTTTTGTAAAAAGAAAGTTACCGCTGTCTACATGAGTAAAATAAGCAGCAGATTCGGGCAGAGGCTTTTCTCTGACATCTCTCCCATTTCTGCGGCTGAAAAATGAGACTGGGGGGCCTCTGACACCCGGCGCAGGTGGCTGTTACCTGGGAGGCTCATCTGCATAACAAAGCAGCTCTTGTCTGTGCACCTCCCTGCCCCCATCCTTTGCTCAGAAGTCCCAGCCCTTACCCCCTGGTTTAGCTGTAGGTGAGGTTCAGCTGCCTTGCTCCTCTGGGAGTCTCACAGGAATGTGTGATGCCATTATTCTTGAGCATGTAATAATAGTGGCATGTCCTTTCTCCTACTATCTGTTATCAATTTATTTCATTGATTAAAATTACCAGCGTTGCAGCAGGAGAAGCGTAAATTTAAAACTTTTCCCCAGAGGAGTCACTTTGAAGAGGGGGCCGGTTTTCCCAAAACAGGAGAGTCCAGTCAACCTGAGTCAGCATAGTAAGCAAGTCTCCTCTTTATTAACTGTACAAAGATAGGAACTTGGAAATGACCAATCCACTTTCTGTTCCCTTTTTTTTCAGCTACTTTCTATCTATAAATTCAAACTCCTCTGTTCAGTTCTGCAAAGCATTCATTCTATTGTATAGAATGACGTATTGCTTTATTCTAGAATTGAAAATAAAAGCTAAGTAGATTTGTAATTTGTAATTTCTAATTTTTGTCTTTTGATAGGAGTAAAAATGATCAAAGTGAATTAAAATGTTGGAAAATAGTAGCTTTCAAGATGAGATGTGGCCTGGGTTGGATGAAGTATTCCATTTCCTTATAATAATTGAAAGGAGGACAAATTATGTTTTCTGATATTAAGGTAACTGTACATTTTACATATTTTGGGCAATCACAAAAAAAACCTCAGAAATAGAATATAATATTTTCGGCCAGCGCCGCAGCTCAATAGGCTAATCCTCCGCCTGCGGCGCCGGCATCCAGGGTTCTAGTCCCGGTCAGGGCACCGGATTCTGTCCCGGTTGCCCCTCTTCCAGGCCAGCTCTCTGCTGTAGCTTGGGAGTGCAGTGGAGGATGGCCCAAGTGCTTGGGCCCTGCACCCCATGGGAGACCAGGATAAGTACCTGGCTCCTGCCATTGGATCAGCGTGGTGCGCCAGCCGCAGTGCGCCGGCCGTGGCGGCCATTGGAGGGTGAACCAACGGCAAAAGGAAGACCTTTCTGTCTCCCTCTCTCACTGTCCACTCTGCCTGTCCAAAAAAAAATATATATATATAATATTTTCAGCATATTTGAGGGAGAAATATGAAAGATTTATTTACATAAGTTAGTGCAACTCTTTTAAGCTGCCAATGTACAATAGAGAACATTGTGCAATCTGTTTTTCTAATCTTAGAGCAAAGTATGTTTTTAAAAGATTTATTTATTTATTTGAAAGCAGAGCTACAGAGAGGCAGAGGCAGAAGCAGAGGCAGAGGCAGAGAGAGAGAGAGAGAGAGAGAGATATCTTCTATCTGCTGGTTCACTCTCCAGATAGCCACAATGGCCAGAGCTGAGCCTATATGAAGCCAGGAGCCAGGAGCTTCTTCTGGGTCTCCCATGTCAGTGCAGGGGCCCAAAGGCTTGGACCATCTTCTACTGTTTTCCTAGGCCATAGCAGAGAGCTGGATTGGAAGTGGAGCAGCCAAGACCGAAACTGGTGCCCATATGGGATGCCGGCACTGCAGGTGGGTGGCTTTACCTGGTAGGCCACAGTGCTGGCCCCAAGGGGTGAAGTATTTTAAACCTCTTCTTCCTCTTTGTCGCTCCCCCTCTTCGTGGAGGAACGACACCAAACCCTGCCTAGGCTTCATATCCGAGTCACGGCACCATTATGTCGCTCCCCGTCTTCGTGGAGGAACGACACAGGACCCTGCGCTGTTCTTTCGTCTGCTCGGCCCTTCCCGGGTTTGCTGCTGGTTCTTCCCGGGTTGGCTGCTGGTCCTTCTCGGGTTGGCTGCTGGTTCTTCCCGGGTTGGCTACCGTCCCTTCCACCTCCGTGGAAGGGTGGTTCCCCCTGCCACATTCCCCACTTCCGCAGGGGAGCGGCACACCGCCGGCCGGCTCTCTCGGGGGCTGCACAGGTGTTCCCCTTAGATGTTCCTCTTGGATGTTCCTGGTGCATGCCGTCTCTCTCCTCCTTTATAGTCCTCTTCCACCAATCCCAACTCTGCTACCCACACACCGAGTACGCTGCTCTCCTCCAATCAGGAGCAGGTCCCACAGTTTATTGGTTGAACTGGAGGCAGCTGTGTAGAAGCTGTTTCCCTTCTCAGCGCCATATTGTGGGAAAGCAGATGCATAGAATAAGTCTTAATTCCAGTAACTTAGTCTAGTCCGAGTTGCTCCCAGTTGCTCCCCACACTCTTCCATTTTTCCTTCTTCCCTTTCTT